ACCATGGAGTTGATTGCCAGTCTCATCATGGGGAATAACTACCACCAGCTGCCCAGCCACTCAACCAGGCCCAGCCAAGTTGACACACAAACATAACTACAACAAGTGTGTATCACCTTTTAGCAAAGGTTTAAACCAAATCCAAGGTTACTGCCATCAAATTGATTCTGACTCATAGCGACCCCCACTGGGTTTCCGAGGGGGTAAATGTTTACGAAAGTAGATTCCCAGTCTTCCTTCCATGGAATGGCTGGTGGGTTTGAACCGCAAACCTTCTGGTTAGCAGTCAGATGCCTCAGGCACTGCGCCACCAGAGCACCTTAGCAAAGGTTTCGTTTTAATTATTTCAGAGCACTGGTGGGGACAGGAGGTTCCAGCAGCGAGAGGTCGTGGAGGAGGCCGGAGCTGGCTCCACAGTGGGCGACAGAGAAGGGCTGGAGCCCGGGGTACAGAGTGTGTGGGACAGGTCAGGTCATTGTGAGGCCATGTGTGTCGGGGGCTTAAAACTGATGAGGGGTGCGGGCAGCTGTGCTACGTTTGTGGCTTGTATGCTAGTCCCCCTTCCGGGCTGTGGCGGGGTTGCTTTGTTTTTATGTTGGGGAAGAGGGGGAAGGGTTTCCCATTCAACGCTTTATACACTCATTTTGTGACATTGCTTGCAAGGAGCTCCAGGTAACAGCCCTCTTCCCCCTTCCGCCCTGGGTCCCCCGTTTCCCTCCGTCCTTCTGTCTTGCGCCTGCTCAGTTTGGCTTCTGGGAAGATGCTACCCTTTGGTCTCATGGGTTTCATCCCTTCGGGTGGGCATCCCGTGTATTCACTGAACAGGTCTGCACAGGGTAGGGTACAGAACACCGGCATGACGGGGACAGGGAGGCCTCACAGGCAGTGACTTCGTGGTAGACAGGTGTGAAGAGAAGTGGTACTGTGGGGATCCCCGGGACAGCCTGCGTGACCCGGTCTGTGGGGAGCAGACGGTGAACGGTCACTCAGCTCAAACTGAAAGGCTGGGGGTTAAGTTGTCCCTGAGGGACCAGGGAAGAAAGGCCTGGTAATCTTCCAAAGACACAGCCATTCCACGGCCAGCCGCCCAGAGGGGCGGAGTCGGACCTGTGAGCTCGGGACCACGATCTCGGGGGACAGCAGGCTCAATTGGCATAAGTACACAAAACACTGTTCCACATCCTACTCTGGCGAGTAGTGACTGGGATCTTAAAAGCTTTCAAGTGGCCATCTGGATGGTGGTTCTCTCCTCGTCCAGAGTAAAGACGAATGAAGAAAACCAAAGATTCACGGAAACAATTAGTCCAAGCGACTGGTACACCATGCGATCTGCAGCCTATACGACTATGAGACCAGAAGAAATAGATGGTGCCCGGCTACCACTGTCAGCCACTCGGAGGGGGATCTATTTAGGAGCTCCTGAATAGAGAGCGAGAACAGTGTGGAACGAAACTCAAAATCATCTGGAAAAAAAAACAAAGGGGACGAGGTTTGCTGGTCTGATAGATCCTGATGGAACCACTGAGACTATGGCCCCTAGCTGCCCTTCAGGTCTGGAATTGAACTCAGTCCTGTGGCTTCCAGCCAAACAAAAGACAGGCAGATGAGCCGAACATTTACATTAGGTAGATACACTCCTTGGAGAGAACAATCATGGGAGAAAGAAGGGCTGCTTATGCACAGGGAGACCGCTCAGGGGGCAGGAGTGTATGGAGGGAAGGACACAGGGAAGAGGTAACTATGGGGAGGAAGTGGGAGGGGAGCTGTTGCATTGTGGGAAAATGTAGTCAAGTCATGAGACAAAGTATGTGAGCTGCTGTATTGGAAAGTGAATTTGCTCTGGAAACTTCCACCTAAAGCACAATAAAAATTAAAAAAAAAAAAAAAGAAAGAAACAGCCATTGCCTGGTGAGACCCCCAAGACTGGGGCCCCTAGTCACCCTTCAGGTCTGGAACTGAACTCACTCCTGTGGCTTCCAGCTAAACATTAGACAGGCATATGGGCTGAACATTGACATCAGGTAGATACACTCAGAGCGATCAGTCGTGGGAGAACAGAAGGACAGTGTTTGCACAGGGAGACAGCTTGGAGGCCAGGAGGGCATGGGAGGGAAGGACACAGGGAAGAGGTGACCACGGGGAGGAAGTGGGAAGAGAGCTGTTACATGGTGGGGATTGCAGTCAATGTCATGAGACAAAATGTGTGTGAACCACTGTGTGGAAAATGAATCTGCTCTGTCACCTGTCACCCAGATCACAATAGAACCCCATGGGGTGCAGTTCCGCTTCGACATACAGGGGGTCGGCGTGAGTCGGGGTTGACTCGATGACCGTTTTTTAGGGTCGACGGAGCTGGCACGGGAGGCAGCCCAGGGTGGGGGCAGCTCTGACAGGCCTGTGTTCAGGAGGCAGGGGGTCTCTGTCTCTGGTAGCAGAGACAACCGGGAGAGGACGGTGGATAGTGAGAGACTTGAGGGACAGGGGACAGTGACAGCTCCCACACGTGACATGTTTGTGGGGTGAGACAGAAAAGCCCACCTGAAGCATCCCCGGCTGCAGGCCAGGCTGCATCCTCAGCCCAGGGGGGGGGGTAGCCAGGCGGGGCCTGTCTTTTCCCTGGCGCCACCCTGGGCGTGCCATGAGAGTTGCTAGAGAGCCACTGAGTGTGTCCCTGTTGGACGCTGTCTCCAGGGAGGGTGGCCTCTGAGGCAGTGCTGGCTGGCCGAGGGGGCCCACTGCGGCCAACACCGCTGCCTGTTAGCCCCCCGAGCAGCAGGCGTTGAAGGCAGGCTGATTGTCAGGGGCGGGACCGAACCCGGAGCTGTCAGGGGGCGGCTCAGAGCGCAGGGGCTGACAGGGCTGTGATTTTGAAAGGACCATCTCAGCGAGAGCGATTCCAGGTGGGAGAGGAGGATATAATTAGATGCGAGCTGTCAGGGTAACTTCTGATGTGTTCCAAGGGTGTTTTGTAACCACTGCACCCTTGGGTGGGAGGCCTTCCCTACCAGGGGCCACGCCCCAGGGCCCTGTGTTGCTTGCTGTTCCCTGGGGCCGGGGGGGGGGGCGTGCAGTGGCCGTTGGGAGGGGTTTGCTCTCTGAAGGCAGCTTTTGCAAATAAGCCACTTGATTTTGCTAATGAACTGTCCACCAAGATGAACTGGGGCCTCATGTCTCGAGCAGGGCCTCTCACCCAGCACTAGGCTGGAGCAGGGCCCCCGCCAGGGCCAGACAGGCTGACAGTCCTGGCGGAGTGGCCACAGCACCATGCACCCGGCTCTCCTAAGCCCTGTGGTACCTCATCCAGCACAGCCCTCCTGTCCACACACTCAGCTCAGCCCTCTGACGCTAGTTCTTACGTTTTGGGGTACCTGGCTCCCCGTTTCTGTCCTGGCTTCTGGGACTTTGAGTCCTGGCCTCATCTCAGCAGCCCGGGATGCCAGCTTCTCGACCGGCTGCCCGCTGCCCCTCTGCCTACCAGTGTTCATCCTAGTGCCCCCCACATCGGCCCCCACCTTGACCCGCTGCAGCCTGCCTGACTGCCACCTGATGTAGGGCCACCAGCAGAGGGAGGAGGGGAGGTTTGAAAAAGCAGCAACCTCATAAAAACCCCCTCCCTTCTCTGGTGAGATCCCTGTGGCCCCCGTCACCCTTCAGGTCTGGAACGGAACTCACTCCCATAGCAGACATACGGGGTGAACATTTACACCAGGTAGACACACTCCTCAGAGCGATCAATCATGGGAGAACAGAAGGGCAGTGTCTGCATAGGGAGACAGCTCGGGGGGCAGGAGTGCATGGGAGGGAAGGACACAGGGAAGAGGTGACCACAGGGAGGAAGTGGGAAGAGAGCTGTTACGCTGTGGGGAATGGCAGTCAACGTCATGAGACAAAATGGCTATGAACTGCTGTATGGAAAATGAATTTGCTCTGTAAACTCTCACCCAAATCACAGTAAAAAATTTTAAAATAGACCATCCCTTCTTCTCCCCGGGCCCTTTAGGAGGCTGTGCCTGCCCACCGCAGCCCTGCAAGCGGCCTCTGCAGGGGACTTTGAACTGCAGGGCTACACCTTTGAGGCGGCCAGAGAACAGCTCAGACAGCCACGTACCGTGCGCGTGGGGCTGGTACAGAACAGGACGCCACTCCCTGCGGACGCCCCGGTGGCCAACCAGGTACGCCCCTGTGGTGACAGGTACACGCCCCGGTGGCCAACCAGGTACACCTCTTTGATGACAGGTGCACGCCCCGGTGGCCAACCAGGTACGCCTCTGTGGTGACAGGTGCACGCCCCGGTGGCCAACCAGGTACGCCTCTGTGGTGACAGATACATGCGCACGGCCGCAGCCCACTCTAGGTCCCAAATCTGGTGCTGGCCAGTCACCCCTAAGCCACACCCGGCTCCCACGGTGGTCCCGGGCCTGCCTTCTCCCCTCGCAGGCCTGCGTCTCTGCCTCCTCTCACTGTCTGGTTCTCACGCCTTGCCCTGCTCTCACCAACTCACCATCCTCTCCCCATGTTGATCTGAAGGTCCACTCACCAGCTGGGACGGCACCCTTTTGGCAGCCGGCGCCCCATGCATGGGCTCTGCCTTGGTCTCCTGCCAGCCCGCGCCAGGCTGGGCCTAAGGGTGGGGATGAGCTCTAGCAGACAGCACCTGTGGGGCCGTGGGGACAGCACCCCTAGGACCTTCCAGGCAGCGTAGGAACATGACAGCATCTTACATGTTTTTAAAGAAACACGTTGTTGCATTTGCCCGGGGATGAAGCTCAGGAGGCCGGAAGGGGATAGGCAGTTAGGATACTGGGGAAACACAGGGAGGGAGTGGGGGTGCTGTTACAGTGCGGTGACTGCGCTCCACGTCACAAAACAAAACACGTATGAATTAGTGAATGGAAAACCAATGTGCACTGTATTCATCCAAGTCAAAAAAAGAAACACGTCATCTCGGATGTGTCTCACAGCGCCCTCCGCCTACTTCAGGCTTCACAGCTTCTCCTCCAAGTTCCTCAGCTGCAGCGTGCTGGAGAACACTTTGGGAACCGAGGAACAGAGCCCATGGGACCCAGTTTGCCCTCCATATCTTCTTTCATGGCAGCCCGCCTTTGCTTTCATTGGTGTAAGAGATTTCTGGCCCCTGCGTGGCACGCAGTTCTCACTCGGCTTGGCGGTGGGAACCCACCTGGCAGTGCCACGGAAGACTGCCCTGGTGATCAGCTTCCATTAAGATTACGGTCGAGAGGCTCCAACGAGGCAGCTGAGTGGCACACCCTGAGAGGCAGATCCTTGTAAAGACCCTGACGGCAAGAATGTCACGCTTGAGCTTGGGCCCACCTGGTGAGACCATCAAGAGTGTCCCAGATGAAACCCGAGACAAGGAGGGCATCAACCCTGACCAGTCCCACTAGAGTGACCAGCCACACTGCCACCAAGTTGATTCC